GAGTGTGGCCAGCAGGGTGAGGGAGGTTATCCTCCCCCTCAACTCTGCCCTGGTGAGACCCCACCTGGAGCACTGTGTCCAGTTCTGGGCTCCCCAGTTCAAGAAAGATGAGGAGCTCCTAGAAAGAGTCCAGAGGAGAGCAACTAGGATGATAAAGGGACTGGAGCATCTCCCCTGTGAGGAAAGGCTGAGAGAGTTGGGCTTGTTCAGCCTGAAGAAGGGAAGACTGAGAGGGGACCTTATCAACACATACAAATATCTTAAGGATGGAAGTCACGAGGATGGAGCCAGAATCTTTGCAGTGATGTCCAATGACAGGACAAGGGGCAATGGGCACAAACTGGAGCATAAGAGGTTTCAGTTGAATATGAGGAAAAACTTCTTTACTCTGAGGGTGGCGGAGCACTGGAACAGGCTGCCCATGGGGGCTGTGGAGTCTCTTTCTCTGGAGATATTCAAAGCCCACCTGGATGATGTCCTGTGCAACCTGCTCTAGGTGAACCTGCTTTAGCAGGAGGGTTGGACTAGATGATCTCCCGAGGTCCCTTCCAACCCTTGCCCTTCTGTGATTCTGTGATTTTGTGATTTACATATTTTCACTACCTCTGTTGTCATCAAAGAAATGCATTCTTTCATTCAGTGACTTTGCTACTTTTTTGTTCCAGCCCTATTGAGCCTTTCTGATGTCCTGGGCAAACGTGGTTTTCTCACACCTTTGAAGCGTGACACACTGTCTTTTGTAACGCTAAGCTTGGAACTTTGACCCAAAGTAGCACTCAATATAAAATGAAAATTAGTATGAAGACATACAAATCGTGTTGGAGTTTGCAGAAATTAGAACATTATTGTACAATTAAATTTCCATTTTGCCATTTTTTATGTAAACAGTTCCAAATTACTTGTTTTCAAGATATGGATCTTTTCCATTTAATTGTTCAGCTCCTCTATTAGAAAAGAACAGTGGCTTTAAATGCTACAAGACAGAAAGTGCAAGAATATTTCAAATCTTTGATCATCATGATGTGGATAGGTTGCCCTAATGAGTGGCCTGTACACATTTCTAAGCGTGATCTAAAAGAATATCTTTAATAGCAATAGAATCTGGAAATTCTGTTATAATTCTGACCTTTCTTATACTTCCATTTAATTTTTTTTTCATAATACAAACAAGGTGAGGATTCATTTTACCAAGACCTAAGAATTATCTCATAAAAGCAAATAAATTGATACAATTACGTTTTCTCTCTAAATAAAAGTATTTCTGCTTTCCAAAGATGGATGTCACATAAGAATTAATAGACAGCTAGTGTGAAGGAACTGTGTTTAAAATGAACAGAAAGGAAAATGAATGAAAAACCAATTAGATTTAAAGACCCCTGTCTTACATCAAAAAACAACCATTTGTAATGTGATACCAGCAATCACCATGTTCTGATATAAAGCAAATTATAGATGTCAAAAAATTAACTTTTGATGTTTGTAGGCTAAGGATTCTTTTGTACAAAATTTTAGAGATTTGTTAGCATTTTCTGTGTTTACAATGAGTTTTCTATAACAGTCAATTTTCAATCAGTAAGAACTCTTAATCTCGGTTTAATTGGACTCAGTAACAACTCTCACATTTAAGTCAATGGGTTTATAAACAGCCACCCAAAATAGTTCTGTTATGTTTGACACTGAAATTAAGTTTTTTCCTTTTGTTTTCCTCTTGTTTCAGGAGTGTACAAGTTGAGAAATTAGAAGCGGATCCCAGTAAATATTCATTCCCTGATGTGACAAAGATAATTCAAGAAAAGGAACGAATTGGACAGGGACCTATTAGCCTACAAGCAGAGAAGATTACAGTGACTAAGAAGAGCTATGTTGATTTTGAAAATAATGAAGATGTTCCTCCCTTAATTTGAAACATTCTTAAATAGTCCCTCTATATGTTGTGTTTATGCTTGAGTTGTTTTCATGACCTTATGTGTAAAGTAAGTAGAAAATAGTTGAAGTTGGAAATACTATTACAGTTCTTATCATGAACTTTGTTATGCTTGTGTTTTCTGCTAGTATATTGCTATATAAATTATTTTTTTTTCTAGATTGTTTACTTAGTCACAAATCAGAATGGGAGTCATATAAGTCAGACATTGTCGTTTCTTAAAAGAATTTACTGTCTTGCTGAAAGATGACATATTACTGTAGAAAAAGAGAGAAGGAAGGAAGAAAGCACTTTTGACAAGATTTATGATTATCCTGACTAAACTGAAGATAGCAAAAATCTCTATATACTCCTCAGTGTTTTCTTTTTCCTGAGGATAACAGTAAAAGAAAACAGTGTATTCTGGGAGTGAGAGACAGTGCTGTAACCTACCATACATCAGTGAATTTTTCAGCATAAGGCAGAGCTCCTGGATTCTGGAGCTGGTATAACAAATCCACTCCTTGAAGACTTTGGGCCAGAATAATGCTGAACACAGTCTCTCAGATGTGGCACCACGGGGAAGCTGGGAGAAATCATCCAGCCCATTCTTGTTCCTGTTCATGCAGCTGCTCTAAACTCTTCCATCTTTTTCAGGGTCCCCTAAAAATATCAAGGCTAATTTTTAGCTGTTGGATGAAATAAGGCTGAGCAGCTGTAATGGGATGAGCTGCTCCTTCCCCACCCTCCAGCCCTTTTTTAGCAACTAGAAGCTCCATTATCATATTTTTTTCCCCTCAGCTTCTGGATTGCTGCATGAATGAAACAGGCAGCATCAAAGCACAAATGTATACTGGGTTACATTAGAAAATTATTGCAATTTGGCAAGACCAAATTTCTTTTATTTTTCCTTTTTTCCTGTGAAAACAAGGATTCTTACCTCAGCTCTGCTTTTGAATGCCATTTTGGCTATTTTCACCCTATCTGATAGAAGAGAAAGGTCAAACAAATACTCAGCTCCTCTAAATTTAGTGAAAACCGTCACTGAGTAGTAAGAAGGGATTCTCTTGATGCAACTGCTCTTTGGAAGAGAGGACTCAGCCGTCACCTATTCTGGCAGTATTCACTCAGCTAATCAACAAGTTGGTAACTGAACTCCTTGTGCCTATGTGATGGTTAAAGAAAGTCGGAGTCATGCCGGTAGGGCTCTGGGAACCTGGGGGAAAGCTGAGGAGAGTGTGGGAGGTATTTAGGAAATATGGTTAGACCTTGAGTTACTATGGAAGCAAAAGGTGAATATTGAGAAGACAGTGGAATTTTGCAGAGGGAGGGTCACAACAAATATTTCTGGCTTGGGGGACTGTTAAAATGAGGAATATGTAGGGGACATAGGACATAAAACCATAGGAAATCAAGCCTTGTTAGCTCTGTTGTCTACAAAACAGTTGATGTAATGATGTCTATGTGCTTGAACGTCTCTCTTGGTCTTTTAGCTGGGCAATTAGCATTCAGTTCTGTAGTAAAAAAGGATACCTTTGGGTTTTTACCAAATTTAAGGCCACTGTTTTTTCAAAAACGACAGAGAAACTCGAAGAAAAAGCAAATTGAGTGACCTACATTGCCTTGGTAATGAATTTCAAACTGTTTCTCTGTAAAGGAAGACTTCGTTTGGTCCTGCAGAAAGAAAATGCTTCTGATTCAAACCAGCTTTTGCTTCTAGCTAAAGGGAATAGAGCAAGAAAATTCAACTCATGAAGAATCAAAGAATATCTTGTGGTTACATCTTGTTTTCATCCTTAAGGTAGAAAATTAATAAGCTACACTTATGACGGAACCACTATGGCTCCACTTAAAATACGTTGTTTAAGTAGCAATCTGTGTTCAGATAGTGCCCATAATATCTCTCAGCACACAGTCAAGTTCATGGCCCATTCTTTGACAGTGCTGTTTCCCTAATTGTGAAAAACATCATGCAAAAAACTCAGCAGTTAGAAAGAAAACATTGCTATTGAATTCTGGGATTTTTAGCCTCTCTAAAGTGCTTTATGATTCTCCACAGATGTTTAATGTAAGATAAAGACAAATAGCCTTTCTTAAAGTGCACCAAAGAGAAGCAGAATATATCCATCAGCTTAGGCTGATGGGTTGAACTGATGCATTTTCTTCGGTTGCAATTTGAAATAGATATAGGATAAAAAAATGAAGTTTCATACTAATGCTGCGTATATTGAGAGACGAAAAGAAAATATATATTTCACAAAGACATAAACCAAAGTTGAATTTGGGCGTCATCTGATCTACTGTAGTATCATTTTGGATTTTTCTTTTCCCATCTTGTTTACTGACTTGGTTTTTCCAATTCCAGAGTAAATTTTTCCATGATATAAGCCTCTCAGCCCTGAAATCTACTTAATCAGCTCGACTCTGCTAAATGGACTATAAAAACATCAGCTTCTTTTACAATATACCCCTAGTCACTATAAATTCCTAATTAGGCTGGCTAACTGTGAGAAAGACAGTATTATGTTATGGTTTACCTCTTATATGCCCATAAGGATGAGTATGGATCGTTTTCTGAGTTGCACATCAAAACATCTACATTTGAGATTGTACCGGGTGTCTGTGCCCAGGCGCTGGCATGGGGGCTGCAGGGCGGCCCCTGAGGGGAGAGGCCGGGGCTGAGACACAGCTGATCCCAACTGGTCCCAGCCGGCTCCAAGGGCCCCACCGCAGGGCACAGCTGAGCCCCTCAGCCAAGCTGGGGGCGCCGGGGGGGGGGGCAAAAGCGGTTTCCGAAAGGGCCAGAGGCGGCCCAGGCCGAGGAGGAGGAAGGCAAGGAGGGAGCAGCAGCAGATGGAGCCCAGATAGATAATGCTGTATTTTAGGAAAAAAAAAAAAAAAGCTGTCTTGAGCTGGAAATGTCACAGGAAAATTAATAGCAGGTGCCAAAATATACTTGGAACTACTCAAGAAAGTGTATCACATGGGACCATAATCTCAGGATCCAGTCTGAAAATGGAGTATATTCTAAGAATCAGCTTCAATAAAATTCTGTATGTGTGTATGGGCTGTGGAGAATACAAGCAGAGGTTGATCACAGAGGAACAAGATCACAAGCACAAGACAATAAACACTTTTCACAAAGTATCACTTACTGATCACTAAGGTACTGCAACCTTGAGAAAGGAAGACATAAGAAGGAGGACAAAGAACATACAGCCAACATAGATGATGACAAAATGAATAAAAGAGAGTCACAGCCCCCACAAGAAAAAGGGAGAGCAAAGAAGGAAGACTAGCACCAGCATGGTCTCCCCCAGTTAAGGACATGACAGCTGATCCAAGCCACCCTGCAGCTGCAGCAGGTTGCTCCTACCTACAGCAGGAAAAACGTGCTGCTTTTTGATTTTCCATTTGCCCCATTCTGCCACTGCGGAGTCAGCGATTGCATGTGCAGCATTATCTCTTACTTTGTAATTGGGTTAAGTAGATTAACATTTCAGAGACCACTGTGTGTGTGTACCGCGATATTTCACCTCTAGCTGTATGACTGGGTGAATTTAAGCAGCATGCAGTGGCTGGATCTATTCATCATCCAGTAGACAGGAGATGGATGGGATTAATGACAAATTCTAGCAGTGCTGAGGAAAGAGGATGTACAATGGTTCAGGACAGCCCTTGGATATACCACAAAATCTTCCCCTTGCTCTAAAACTGGGCAATGTGATGTAAGTTTTGGATTTGCACAGTCAGAACAAGAGAGTTTTTTTGCTTGTGCACAAGACAGGAGGAGTCTGGTTCCTCCCAGAGCTAAGTTGGTTCATCTGGGTCAAAAAAAACCCCAAAAGCAGAAGAGAATCTATTCTCTGCTACTATTACAGTGTAAAGTTATACTTCACTAACAATTGCAGCTGTATTGCAGAAAAACATGCACCAAAATAGCAAAGCTGGATTCAAAACTGCCTTTTGTCTTACAGTCTTAGATGCTCAGTGTGGACATCTGAATATACCCAGTACGGGTCAGTATTAGACATGAAACATGTGCTTTCCCACTGCACGTTTCAAATTATAATTCCCATAAGAGCAGGCTGGTGAGTAGCAAATACATTTCTTACCAGTTAATGTATAGTGAAAGAAAGCTGTAGGGTAGCCTGAACATTAGTCTTTTTCTGAACAGTTGCTAAAGACCAGGTGTTATCTGTTAAAGCTAAACTGTGTTTGTAACTGTAACTTCACCCGAAGAAAATGACAGACTCACAGAATGGTTGAGGTTGGAAGGGACCTGTGGAGGTCATCTGGTCCAAACCCCCTGCCCAAGCAAGGCCACCTAGAGCCAGCTGGCCAGGACCATGTCCAGATGGCTTTGGAGTATCTCCAGGGACTGGAGACTCCACAGCCTCCCTGGACAACCTGTGCTCAAACACCTTCACAGTAAAAAAGTGTTTCCTGATGTTCAGAGGGAACCTCCCGTGTTTCAGTTTGTGCTCAGTGCCTCTCGTCCTGCCATTGGGCACCACTGACAAAAACATGGCTCCATCCTCTTGGCACCCTCCCTTCAGGTATTTGTATGTATTGATAAGATTCCCTAGAGCCTTCTCTTCTGTAGGCTGAACAGCCCCAGTTCTCTCAGCCTTTCCTCGCAGGAGAGATGCTCCAGTCCCTTCCCCATCTTTGTGGTCCTTTGACGGACTCGCTCCAGTATGTTCATGCCTCTCTTGTATTGAGGAGCCAGAAGTGGACACAATACTGAACTTTATGAAACTTTTTGAAGTTTATATGAACTTATAAACTTTATGAATCATACTTTCAGAGGGTAGGATTTAGTGCCAAGATTTTGACTTATTTGCCAGGCTCTTTCATTTAAACTATGTCATTGTCAATACCATCCTCTGCCTGGAGGTGAAATCTCCAACACAGCATATAAGACACTGACAGAAATTACTATGATGGCTAGGATCTCAGGTGGACTGCCATGAAGGCCACAGTCAGAAGTGAGCTTTA